TCGAGTACAACTGCGGCGGACTATTCTTTCGAGCCGCACTACTCAAGGGTGTCCCGTGTGTTGCGGTGACAAACTCCATTGAAGAGGTGACTTCAATGGAGCATATAATTACAGTTGCCAAAGAAAAACAGTATCTTCTCTGCGAACCTGGTGAGTACGCACTTTAAGTTTAAATGTTATCTCACAAGCTCTGTATGCAGGAGCGTGGCCACCCCCAGATGCTGAAACGGCGTTAACAGCTACTGTTGAAGATACCCATGTTGGGCCGAGCTCACAACCTGCACAAGGTAAGGTCACGTGAGGCCTCACGCCATATTCAGACACGAGGACTGAAAAGCGCACTGGTGGCGCGTCGAAGAAGGACAAACAGACAAGCAATAGGAAAAAAGGAGGTACAAATTATATTTGCAATGGCGTGTCTTCTCATGCCATTCCTTGCAGGAGACACTTCTTCAAAGGCAAAATAGGCAAGCATCAGCCAAGCTCAAACTGATAGTGGTCATAAAAAGCGAAAGCACGTTGGACAGTCGTCGGGATCAGAGGCGTTTGATTCAAAAAGGAAGAAGGGCAACAAAAAGATGATAGGTAATGCCTCGCGGTTATGGCGTGTGTGCTCATGCCATTCATTGCAAATCAAGGGCTGAGTGAAAGCAGGCAGTCACCACCTTCTGACTCAGATTCCTATGGCGGACTCCCCTTCCCCAATCTCAATGGAGAGGTACAATGGATGAGGGATGCTTTTCAAGTCAGGGCCACGTTTTTCTCATCTCGTCGTCTTCGAAGGGTGCAAGAATGTGCAGAAACCATGTTAAGACAGTCGGGTGAGGATACGGTCCTAGGTCACGCACTAAAACAGGCTATGGATGTCTTGTATTTTGAGATGGAAACTCGGCTAGATGATTTTCCCAAGATGGTCCTGGAAGAACAAGCCATCCAGCCTGAGCAGCCTATGGAAGAAATGCAGGAGGGGGATGAGGAGCCAGAGAAAGATAATGAGCAGGAAGAGCAGAAGGACAAAAAGGAGGACAAAGAAGAGGAGGACGAAGAGGACTTGGATGGTCCTCACAATGGTGACGATCACAATAACGACGACGACGTTGATGACGACGATGGCCAGCCTGAGGTGGCCAAAGAGCAGCGGAGGAAGGTCATACAAGACAAACCATCAGGTAAATAATAGTACATCCATTCCTAACCTTTTACCATTTCTAACATTGTCCATGTAGGTCGTAGAGCAAATGGTAAGTAGAGATTATTCAATTGAATTAAGATACAAACTCTAGCCTTTAGTGTCGAGGAAGGATAGTGCCAAGCAAGGGTCGAAACGTATGTCCAATATTTCAGAATCAGCAGTGCGCCCAAGTGATATCGGTCCTAGTTCCTCAATAGCAGTTGATGGTAAATACAGTATAGTCGATTCAATATGCTAATGAGTTTATTTTTAGTAGCATGGGAGGATACCATCTCAATCGAAGGGAGATATTTGGATATGCATATGGATCCGCTAATGGACTCTACTTGCCTGCAAGAGTCATTAGAGCTGGTGGAGGCTACTATCCATATCAACGCCAAGCAAGCTGACCACGCTCCACTTGATGTTGCCCATACCATTGAGTCAATCTTGTCCACGTATCCAACTGACGGTGACCAGGCGCCATTGGACCCGCATGAGGCCGCCCCAGCCGCCGAGCCGGTCGTATCCTCATTTCCAACGGACTCAACGTGTGCCTAATCGTTTGACTACGCGCCGTTGGAACCTCCCTACACCGCCCCTACTGCTTGTTCGGTCATGTCCACTTTGCCAATGGAGGCACCAGCTGAAATGGCGTGTGATCACACGCCATCGGAACCACCCCATGCCACTGTTGAGCCAGTTGTACCAGAGTCTACAGCTGAAATGGCATGTGCCCACACGCCATCGGATGCGATTGACCCCACATTGCAGAGGAGAGTATTTCCGCCCTTCACGTTTCCTCGACCAAAACCCTCTCAACGACCATCGGGAGCACCATTCGCTAATATTGTAGATGGTAAAATTGACTTGTACCATTTTTTATACTGACGCATTTCATTTCAGAGTCACGGCGAAGGTACTGTATCGTTTTTTATCTGAACAGTGTCCTTTTCTCCCATGAGCGTGGCTCGTCCTTGAATGTCACTGCACCCTCCAAAGCCTGCGGTCGCAAGTTGGTCAAAAGAGACAGATTCACATTAATCACACGGGAGAAACTGCGGGATCTAATAATGACCATGCGACACTTAAAACAGAGGGCCGGGTTCAATTTGCAATTGGGAGTTTGGACATCCATGATGCGCCACAATGCATTAACGTTGCTACAGATGATGCACGATCAGACGCGAGTAATATTACCATTTGACTTTCTCCTAACGCAGAAGGATTGCTTGACTATGGTCCATGTGAGGGGTAGCAAGCCCATCTTCGTCAAGCCAGAGGCTGTAGTGATGAATCGGACTGCTAGGTCAAGTGAAATCCTCATCATCAATGACTCGCCGATTAAAACTGCAGCGAACACGCACACATATGCAGTGCACCCCATCTCTTGCAGTATGGAAACTAGGGAGAAGAAACCGTATGTTCTGGGGGACCTTGCAAAACGGCTTGGAGCGATGGTGATAGAGAACCGGCCAGTCCAGGAGGTGGCTGCAGAAATCAACCAAATGGCAGATGGAACGGTATATCAGAAGCCATTTGATCGGACAGACACCAGTCATCATTTATGGCATGTATATTGTCTAGCCAAGCACTATCCGCATCTCCATAATCTGCTCAACCGGATGGGTTCTTCGACCACTGAACATGAGCGTGGACGTATTAGAGAAGAGATGGCATTACTATTGGGTTTAAATCCTGATAGTGTGGAGAGTGATGAAATTCCAAGATTATTGTATAGGCGTTGGAGGCAAAAAATAATAGTCTGAGATGGCATGTATTTATTTAAAAATGTAACTTATTATGGCATGGGGTTCCATGCCATTGTATTAATATTAAAAGACAATTCTTTGAGAGGATTTGCATTATACTAGAAGTGTTACAGCATGTTATTGGAAGTCTACGAAGTTGTTTTATTAATAAGGGGAAAGTAAAGATTGAATGGGGACTTGGGCTCCACCTAGACTCGGAGCAACTGAGTCAATATTAAAAGGATGGAAAGAAATTGGACGACGATGACAAGGAGAAGAGAGAGGTGAAGCAGTGGTAGGGGGAGGAGAAGTGATTAAGTAGACATTTCCTTGTTTAAAATAAAATGGCATGTGCCTCAATGCAGTTGAATTTTGTTATATTTATATACTATATAAAGGTTTGGAAACCTTATTTTACAAGTGGGATAATGACAATTCCCACTTTAACGAAATAGAGCTTGTATAGAGTACAAATTTAAAGAAGTGACAAGAATACTCCTTTTGAAAACATTTTATTTTATATTCTAACAAATGTCCCTATCATTGCATGTAGTAAATATTTAAATTATTAGAACAAAAAGTGTTCTTTAGAACATTTTTATCTATATAATATATAGAGAGTTATTAAATTATTAGGTTCACCATAACCTTAAAATTTTAAAATTTATAATGTTTGTACTAAATTACAATTAAAAATTGAGCTCAACTCGTGAGCTCAACTTTTCAACTCGTGAGCTCAAGTATGGTCCGCGCCCCCACACAGCAAGAGATAGAACCTACTGTCAAAGTCTAGTCAACACTCAGCACCCTGTGTCCCAATCTCTACACTCTACACCCATGAATTCACCTGTAAAGAAAGTAAAAAACTTACCATCCTGATGACCATGCAGATCTGCCACAATGAGAAGCATGTAAGATGCTCCTCTAATGCCAGTGGCTGAGAAACTACATACCAAGCAATTCTTTTGTTAAGTTCAGAGCATAAGAAAGTGAAAACTTTCAATGGGATTCTCAGGAGCAAAGACACCACAAAGTATCGCAAAAATCAAATCAGGAAAAGAACTAAAACAGCAAGAAAAGATCCCAAGAGTTGAAACATGCCTCTTTGGTGCCTTGTGCCTCTACGCCCAACACTCATCTCTGGCCAGTGTCAAGTGCTTGGCACCACTATCAGCACCTCTACCTTGCATGCCCTAGTGCCTTGCTCAACACTCTAATGCAGTCTCTGCTCAGCCAGCCCTCTCTCAACGCCTTCTGCTTGCCCAGCTTTTGCCAGTGCCTTAGTGCCTTGTTGAGCACCCTAGCACATTCCTAGCTTGGTGCCTCCTCTTAGTGCCTCTGCCAGCGCCTTAGGCCACTCTCTCACACCAGCGCCTCACTCCGCTAAGTGCCTCTCTCTCAACACCTTTGCCAGTGCCTCGGGGCTAGTCTTCACGGTCAACACTTTGTAGCACGACATCCAACAGATGAACACTGTGTTCCAGTCGAGTGGCGTGTCTAGATTCTGCAACACCTTGCTCCACAGCCAGGAGGATGATCGATCCTGCTCCAGTGGCTAGATCTTCCTAGTGGGCTTAGGCTGCTACTGCTGCTCGAGTGATCTTGATGCCCAGACGATAGGCGCAGCCACACTTAACACATGTGTATGCGCCATGTGTTGCAGTGCCTTCCTCTCTCGCCCCACACAGTTTGGCTGCCTCCCATTGGCCAGGAGCAAACATCAGTGTGATTATTCGCTAACATGTGGTTACAATTCCTATCAGATGGCTGCAATTGGTTGGATCCGGTGGCCCAGAAAGTTCAGCAACTCTTCCTTATTATGATAGATTTGACTAAATGAGATTGTGCTGTACAAAGGAATTCATCTGCAAATCTCTGAGAGTATCAGAGATGCTGAGTTTGATTGCGGGATTTGATCCAAACAAGATATCCTTAGCTGTAATGCAGTTGTCCCCATAAAACACATTATTCATTTATTAATCTATTCATTCTAGCAAAGTTTTTATTATATCCTCTCTCACAATTTACCTCAGCTAAGTTTTTACGGTAAATCTAAATGAAATATGGTGGGAATCAGAAACTTCTAATCAAAATCTTTATTCTGTACATTTGATTAAATGATATATGAGATTGTGCTGTACAAAGGAATTCATCTAAAAAGCTCCTCAAGAGTATCATACAATGGAGAAGCAGCATTTGGTTGTGGCACGGATCCAAACAAGATATCCTTAGCCGTAACGCAGTTGTCCCCATAAAACGCATTATTCATTGCTTTGCGTGTTGCCACAACATTGCCTTCCAGAGAACATCCCAAGAACACACCTGTATATGCAATGCAAAAGCTCGGCTAAAGAGCTCCAAATGTCACGACATACCTCTGCTGCAGCTATAAGTGTAACAAGCAGCCACACCTCCATCTCCAGTTCGCAAGTCGGCCTCGGCAACACGACCAACAGGTCCGGCAGCAACACTGACTCCCGCTCCAATCGACAAATGAACGCGTCCTCCAAAAGCTTTCACTGTTGAATCGTTGCGCAGCACAATGATAAAGTCCGTGAGCTCCCCACCAAACTGAAAAAAAAAAAACACGATCATGGAAGAAAAGCATGAAGAACAGACCAAAGAAAAACAAAAGGAAAGGTCGCTTGCTTTACCTGTAAACCCCATCCCATGCCACACGAAGCAATCGCCGAGGGAGCTGACCAAGTGTTGTTCTGGAGACGAGCAACCAGGAGCCCTGTGCCGACCTTGTAAGTAACACCCATGCCGGCTTTCACAACAGTGAGGATGGCTAGTCCCTTGGCATTCTTTAGAACCGCTCCTGGTATAGTTCTCTCTGGTGCCAGCCTTCCAGCCTGATCGCTAGAAAAGTCTTGAAAGAAAAGGAAGTAAGACAGTGCGTACCTTGAGAAAATGCCGGAGTGTATTCGTTGCCTTGTAGATTTCGTGCTCCATGGAGAGTCCCAGAGGACTATTCAGCCACGATCTCAAGCAGCTAGCGTCCGTGACGTCGTGAGTAGCAGTCTGGAAGGCATGGCTGACTTGAAGAGCAAGCAGCGTCTGCCCCGGTTCCAAGGCGCTTGCACAAGTGTCACACACTCGCTGAGGCTCCCGGACTCTAAACTTCGATGGCAGCAAGCTCCGCGCACTCGAGCAGCGGCCGCAGAAGATCTGGCCGCAGAACCGGCAGTGGTGGCGGCCACAGCTGAGAGCCTTGAAGCTGGCGGAGCACTGCATGCACGAGGTGGCGGAGCTGTCCGGGAGCCACTCCGGGGGCTCGGCCTCAAACACGGCCTTCATGACTTGGACGTCCTCGAGGAAGCTCGTCATTGCGTAGAGGCTCTGCTTCCTCCGGCTTTTCTTTGCTTCGCTTCTCCGGTCCGCCACCATCTTTCTCATTGTGGTGAAGAGCGCGCCGAGCTTCTTGTCCGGCGAGACGCTCACGCGGTCGCATCCATTCTCGTAGAGACCCTTCTCGTAATCGTCGATGTCCATGGGCGGCACGGACACCGGCACCCATTCCTCGATCTCTTTGCAGAGGGGGCACAGTAATGGATGCGAGGAAAACGTTTGAGCCTGCCAGAAACATACATCACTGATCACTCTAGTGGACAATTCTCTCGAAAGAATCAAAAGAACTCACCTTTTTCAAGCATTCCAGGCACAAGCTATGCCCGCAAGAGAGCGAGACCGGCCCTCCCCACATCACAAGGGATTCCTTACAAACCGCGCAATTTGGGGGAAATCTCTCGTACCCCGCCGCCATCGGATCATCGTCCTCCTCCTCGTCATACACAGGCATCGCGGCAAAAAGATCCTCCGCTTGGTCGCATTGCCGATCCACCGGCGCCGCTGATGGGCGCCGGGAATCCATCCAGCCCAGCTCCATTCAAGAACCCTAAACTCCCGCCAAGAGCCCTAAAATTCCTTTTGAGTTTTATTTTAGGTATGCCCTGTTTGGGCATGAATGAATGCTCGGGCGATGGCGCCACGCTGCCGCGCGCCGCCGGATTCTCCATACCAGCGCGGCCGCCAGGTACTTCCTCTCGACAGCGATCTCCGATCAGAGCTCGCTGGAGGAGCTGGAAGCCCTGATTTCCAAGCTGGAGCGCGGCGAGGCAAATGCAACGCTGGAGGAGTACGCCGCGCTGCTCAAGCACTGCGCCAACGCGAAATCTCTGCTGCTCGGCTGCCGCGTCCACGAGAATCTAGCAAGCAATGGCCACATCCCGGGCAGGTACCTGCGAAATCTCATCATCGAGATGTATGGCAAATGCGGCAGCCCCGGCAAAGCTCTGGCAGTCTTCCAGACGATCCTCAACCCCAACGTCTTCTCCTACACGATGCTCCTCCTCGCCTATGGCCAGAATAGGATGGAGAAGGAGGCGCTGGAAGCTTTCAAGCTCATGGATCTGGATGGCGTTTTTCCCAGCGAGGTAACTTTCATGAACGCGCTAGCAGTGTGCTCGAGGCTGGGAAATCTCCGCGACGCGAGAGCTCTCCACTGCTGCCTGGTTGGAAGTGGGATGGAAGAGAGCGTCGTGCTCCAGACCGCCGTGTGTAGCATGTACACTGGATGCTCGCGGCTCGACCTCGCAAAGCAAGTCTTCAACCAGATGGTGGAGAGGTCTGTAGTGACTTGGAATGCGATGCTCACGGCTTACGCTCGTAATGGTCTAGGCAGGGAAGCGATGGAGCTCTTCTGGAGGATGGAGCAGGATGGATCCAAGGCGGACCACGTAACTTTCCTGTGCTTGATCGAGATCAGCGAGGTGCTGGGCGATCTAGAACAGGTACCGAGAGTCCAGCAGCGTGTTCACGAGATGGGATATGACTCGACTCTCTCTGTCCAGACGTGTATCCTCAGCTTCTACGGCAAGCACGGCAACATCCGCGACGCGAGAAGCTTGTTTGAGGCACTGGAGACCAGGAACTCCGTGTGCTGGAACGCGATAATTGGGATCTACGCGCAGCACGGGTTTGGAGAAGAGGCTATGGCGCTCTACCAGAGGATGAAGGCCGAGAAGGTGGTGAAGCCGGACGAGGTTACTTTCATCAACGTTCTCAACGCCTGTGCCAACCTCGGGGAGCTGAGAATCGGGAAGATGGTGCACGAGGACATCTCCTACCATGGCCTGGACGGAGATATCATCCTTCTCAACGCGCTGCTTAACATGTATGGACGGTGTGGAAGCTTGAAGCTGGCGAGAGAGGTCTTCGACAGTATGAGCCCGAGGATTGGGAGCTCCTGGACGGTGATGATGACGCAGTACGCGGAGCACGGGCAGGGACTGGTTGCTCTCGACTTGTTCCGGGACATGCACATCGAGGGCCTCAAGATGGACGACATAACTTTCGTCATCATCCTCTCGGTTTGCAGCCATCTTGGGCTTCTCCGCGAGGGACGAGATCTGTTCGTGTCTCTCCAGCAGGACTTTGGCATCCATTACCTGAGCGAGCACTATGGCTGCGTCGTGGATCTGCTCGCTCGTGCCGGGATGCTGGATGTGGCCGAGGAGTTTTTGGAGCGGCTTCCTGCGACGCAGTTCTCTCCGGTTCACTGGACGTCGCTGCTCACCTCTTGCCGAGCTCACGGCGATGTGGAGCGAGGGACGAGAGCTGCTATGCTGCTGTTTGAGCTGGATCCCCAAGACAGTGGAACGTACGCCATCCTGGAGCAGCTGTACACGAACACTGGCCGGTGGGACGATCTGGCCGAGCTGGCGAAGATTATGCGAGCCAGGGGAATACGCTTGCGAGCTCCTCCAGTGGAAGAAGACCTTTTCGGCTAAAGCTCGGTTCGTGGTTAGTTTCTTTGTTCTCGTCCAACTAATCAGGATAGTTTTTCCAGGTTGCTTGGAACTGGCCTGCATGGAAGTTGTGCAATGAGCAGATGAGAGCGGTGCACTGCACAACAAAGTGGATCAACAAACAAAGAAGGTTCTCGGCACTAGTGCAAGAGCTCCACCAGCTTGTCCACGAGCTAGAGCAATCCAGGACTGTTCCCAGCGAGTCAGTTTACATCGATCTCTTGATACGTTGCGGGGAGGCAAACGCAGCTGCCGAAGGGAGGCGAGTGTTTGCCCAGTACGCACTCGCAGAAAATGGCAAGTCATCGACGAGGCTTCGAAACCGCTACATCAGCATGCTGGGAAAGTGTGGCTGCACCGAAGAAGCCCGGCGAGAGTTTGACAGCATTGAGGACAAGGATGCTTTCTCCTGGAACATCATGATAACGGCTTATGCCCAGTCCGGGCATAACTTCCAGGCACTGGGTCTCTTGTGGGTGATGGACTTGGAAGGCAAGAAGCCAAGCTACATTACTTTCATCTCGATCCTTCGGGCCTGTAGCTGTGAAGAGCTCATAGCTCATGGGATCCGAGTTTACAATCGGGCAGTTGCGGAGGGACTGGAGTCTCACGTCAGGCTGGCTACCGCTGCTCAGAGCATGTTTGGGAGATGTGGGATGGTTCAAGACGCCAGGAGACTGTTCGAAGCCGTCGAAGTGAGGGATATCATAGCCTGGAACTCGATGATCTCGGCCTATGCTCAGTGCGGTCACCTCGACGAAGTTGTGCTGCTGTTTAGAAGGATGGGACTGGAGGGTGAGAAAGCTTCCAAGGCAACGTTGGTCAGTGTGCTGGATGCTTGCACAAGAAAGAAGAACTTGGCAATGGGTCGGCTGGTACATCGCTGTGTTTCCGAGAGCAAGCTGGCACAAGATGTTATGGTGGCGACGTGCTTGGTTAGCATGTATGGGAAATGCGGTAGCTTTCGAGACGCCATGTCCGCTTTCCAGAGCTTGTGCTCTCCGGATTTGGTTGCCTGGAACGCGATCATACAGGCTTGCAGCGAGCACGAGAAACACAGGGAGGCGTTTCAGATGTTTGCGAAGCTGGATTGCGAAGGCCACACACCGAGCGAGAGCACCTACATGAGTATAATCAACGCGTGCTCGACCTCAGCGGCAGCCTTACATGGAGAAGCTATCCATGGCCTCCTCGAGTGCTCGAACTCATTCTCCGACCTCGTCAAAGGTGCGCTCGCGAAGATGTACATCAAGTGTGGCAAGCTGGAACAGGCCAGGTACGTGTTTGAGCAGCAAAGTTTCAAGGATTTGATCTCGTGGACGTCAATGATCGTGGCTTATGCGCAGAATGGAGACGATGCTCAAGCGATGCTTATGTTTCACAGGCTTGACTTGGAAGGCTTCAAGCCGGATCGGGTGACTTTTCTCGGTGCTCTAGACGGCTGCTCGAGTCTAGCGGAAGGGAAGCAGCTCCACGCTCGTCTTTTGGAAACGGTTCACGTCACGGACATGCAAGCTACAGCTCTCATTTGCATGTATGCAAAGTGTGGGAGCTTTGAGGATGCCAGGGAAGTCTTCGAGAGGATGAGCAGCAAAACCAACACCTCTGCCTGGACTGCCATGACCGCAACGTGTTCCCAGCACGGGAAGCACAAAGAGGCAGTGCAAACATTCCAGCAGATGGAGCTGGAAGGTTTGAGAGCCAACGAGATCACCTTCATCAGCGTTCTCGACGCTTGTGCCAGCGCTTCAAATCTAAAGCAGGGAAGACTGATCCACCAGAGGCTAGTTTCCAGCGGCTACTCGGCTGACGAGTTTATCGGCAACTCCATCGTCAACATGTACGGGAGGTGCGGGAGCCTGAAAGAAGCGAGAGGAGAGTTTGAGGTGATGCCCGTGAAGACCATGGTTACCTGGAGCACAGTCGTCGGTGCTTACGCTCAGCACGGCCACATCGAGGAGGCAAAGCAGCTCTTTTTCCTCATGCAGCTGGATGGCTTCGACCCCGACGACGCGATCTTTGTAAGCGTGCTCTCGGCTTGTAGCCACGCAGGACTAGTCGAAGAGAGCAGGAGTTTGTTCATCTCCATGGCTGGTAAGTTGTGCTTCGTTCTTGTCTCTTCCAGAGTGACTGGTTTTGCTTTCTTTGTATAGGGGACTATGGAGTTAGCTTTGGAAACGAGCACTATGGTTGCTTCCTCGACGTTCTGGGAAGAGCAGGACGTTTGGAGGACGCCGAGGATATGATTTGCAACATGCCGTTCGAGCCGAGTGGAGCACAGTGGCTGAGCCTCATGTGTGCCTGCAAAACGCACAGCGACATCGCTCGAGCACTGCGGGTGACAAACCACATCAACCATTTCGCTCCAGACAAGAAGACGCAGTCGTGCATGCTCCTGTCCAACACGTACGCTGCCTGGGGGCTATGGGCCGACGCCGAGAGGGTCCGTGCCATCGGCCTTGCTACTCGGGCAGGAGACGAGAGAGCGCTCGAAGAGTTTTTCGAGGAACTCGAACTCGAACAAGAAGCAGCTGCCGAGACATGATGACAAGTTTCATGACTTCTCCATTGCGAGAACAATGCCAGGGAGCTGCTGCGCTCCAAATTCTCTCGACAGCATCGTCGACCCGGGAAAAGAAACGGTGACGTAGGTGTTGTAGAACTCCCGGAGATGGGTGACGCGGCCATCCTTGGCGGTCCAGATGTGAACCCAGTAGCTCGCCACCTCGGCCCTCGACCACTGTCGCCACCACCGACGGCGTTTGACGTTCCAGACCTCTGAGGTGTCAAAACTATATAGCCGTGGACGTAGATCCAAAAGCGCATCACGTAAAGTTGTCACGCGATCTTGATCAAACCTCGGCGAGCAGGACTTTTGGTACAGATATGGAAATTTCTCCTCTGCTCCTCAAAAGCCGTGAAAAGTTCTAAGACTTGGAGAAAGAACAGCTGCTTGTCGTTTACTTGACACGCTCAAAGCTGCCTCACATTGTTTATCTTCAGAAGCTAATCGCCTGGAGAAGGTTGTTACAGACGAAACCAAAACTTACTTATCGAGATGGAACTAGACTTGCCTGCTTGCATACATTCGATCAGTTTTCGAAAACGAAGCTTGGTCATACCTGGGATCTCATGACGTAACTTGTGATCACGCGATCTCGATCGTCAAGACTTTTTCCAGATCTTCCGCCTGTTGTCTCTTGCGTAATGTTTAAAAACTCTCTTATCAAAACTTGGAAAACTGCCGCTTGTCGTCTTCGCCTCGTTTCCCGTAAGGATTACTTGCGCCAAACTTGTGCCCGGAACTCTTTCTCTCCTTGCCTTGTTTGCGAAACTTGGCGGCGCTGCTATCGATGCTGAGATTGTTTATCTTTGGTGGACAGCTAAAGCCAAAGGACGCTGCGACTGCCTGCAAAGTTTTGCAAACGAGCACTTACGTGCACAACAGAGAAAGCTTTAGAAAAAAATACCTGTAAGTCAAGCCTGTGGACGTTGAAGGCATCTTTCATGGCATGCGAATTGTACGCCATGATATACGACCTGTATGCGTCGCGCGCTGACCTGTGAAGATTATAATTTTTGCCTATCAGGTTTTCCTGCCAAGAAGTTTGAACATATAGGTTAAAATCCATCTTTTCCATCGTCTTCTTACCAGCTGCGATTGCACATTCGCGATCTTATTTTCTGGAAACATGTATTCATTTAGAGGGACCTTCGCCATCTGAAACACAACAGAGATTCTAGATGAATGCACGCAGGAAGATCAATATCTCACCGTGAGATAACGTTTAAATCCCAGCTCCTCTGGGGTTAGAAACAGTAAAGCTCGTCCACGACCGCTCTCACCTCTCGCAGTACGACCAACTCTGTGAATATATTCCTGGCGTAAAAACAATTTAGAGAAGAAAAAAGTTAACGCTCGTTTACCTTTGGATCATCCGGAGGGTCGTATTGGATAATCCAGTCCTGCAGGAGAGATTGAATACAGACAATTACAGGAAGGTTTTGGAAAAACTTACCACAGCCGGTATATCAAGGCCACGAGCAGCAACATCGGTACAAAGAAGTATACCCTTCTCCGCATTGCAGAACTCAAAGTACGTATTAGTGCGCTTTTGTTGCTTTTGTTTGCCATGAATATCAAGGCATGGTATATCGATGAAGTTTAGAAGTTCCCCGTGGAATTTCACTGAATTGCAAGAGGAAAAGAACACCATAACCTGCAAAATAAATGGCTAAGTGATGTGTTCCGTTTAGTCCAAAGAATACCTTTTTCTTGAGGTTCTTTTTCAAGAACGTAAACAGAAGAAGGAACCGCTTGTCGGTCTTCACAACACAGTAGCCCTGTTCCAAGCCTTCTACTGTAGCCTGTAAAGAGTGACCTTTCAGGACTTCTTTAACAACATGAGTTTAATACCTTGCTTCTCTCATCGTCCACTCCGATGTATATAGGAGCTTTCTTGAAAGAAAGTTTGGCCAAGTCTTCCACCTAAGCTTCCAAGAAATACAGATTAGAATCTTCTTAGCTGTTATGGCTACTTACTTTTGTCGTTTGAGTGGCAGAAAAAAGGACAGTTTGTCGCTCCTGCATGAAATTCTTGTGACACCCAAAGATACAGTACCCATGCTTACTTTCGGTAGGAGCTTGATGATCTGTTTCATATCCTCCTCAAAGCCAATTTCCAAGATGCGATCTGCCTCGTCAATCACAAGGCACTGACAGAAAAGTAAGAGAGAATACCACATAGTAATAAAAAAAAAAACTAACCTGCAAATTCTTGAACAGAAAACCCTTCGTGTTTTGAAGATGATCCAGAAGCCTTCCTGGAGTAGAAACGAGTAGATTCACTCCTTTCTTCAACGCTTCTGCCTCTACGTTTCGTTTCACTCCTCCCATAACAATCCCGTGGGTTTGGCTATGGTGTTTCATCAACTTCCTCGCAACTCCATATATCTATCCAGAAAAAAAGCTTTAGAAACCCGTAAGAAAGCTGGAAGAATCCTTACTTGCATCGCCAGCTCTCTCGTAGGAGATATGATCAAAACGCCAGTTCCATTCCGTGGCATGAAACGAGCATGGTAGAGTAGCTCCACAGCCGGAACCAGAAAAGCAAGCGTTTTGCCGGAGCCAGTCCTTGCGGCTCCGAGAACATCTCGTCCCTTGAGCAGCTCTGGGATTGATCTCGATTGAATCTACAAAAGAAAAAGCTTTGTCGCTAAGGAAGCAAGAAAAAGAAGAGAAAAAAGACCTCAGTCATGTTCGTGAACCCGATCTCTGCAATCGCATTCTTCGTAGGCTCCGACAGTGGCAGCGCTCCAAAGTTCATGCTGCTCATCATACCATTCACAAGCACAGTGCCTTCCACCACCTCCGGATCCTTCGCAACCTCCTCCGGCTCCAAATCCCTCTCATCCTCCTCAACCTCCTCTCCAATTCCCTCCCCATTTTCCTTCTCAATTCCAGGCTCTAGAATCCCGCCCTGCTCCTCCTGTCCCTTCTTCCTCTTCCTCACCCTCTTCCTCGACGCATTCTCCCGCGTACCTGCAATCTTCGTCTCGATCCTCTTGAACGCTCCCTTCCTCGTCTTGAGCACCTTGGGCGCGCCCGCCATCGCCAAAAAGCCCTAGGGCGAAAAACCCCAGACAAGATCCCAGCCGTGGATCCCCGCCAGCGATCCAACGCCCCACAACAGCCGCAAGGGTAAGGAGGCGGCGAGGCGGAGCCGATAAGAGCGCTGACGTCAGCTCGCAATCGCGCCGCGTGTATTTTCCCACTGGTTGGGAACTACGCGGCGCCGCGACCCTTTGGCTTCGTGCAGGGCCACCGGGCAGCCAACGTGTCCCGCTGCCCGATGCCCCCGCTGCCCGCGGCAGTACTGCCCGTACGGACAGCGGTCCATTTAATAAATCAGTGTGTGGTCGGTGGCGCAACTCAACGTATTCAGTACACAAGACCCTCCAATGTGACACGCTGACGCTACACATTCACGTTTCTTCCTCCGGGGTGGTAAAAATCGGCCATGATAGACAACAGCGGCACTGCATGCAACACGTGGCCTCGCAAAAGGTGGTGGAGCGTCTCTCTCTCTCTCTCTTTTCTAGGTTTAATACGCGCGAGTGCAACGTGTGTGATTTCTTTCCACCCCCGATACCAAACCGCCAACCTCACAACTCTCCCTTCATACATTTCTATCAAGCACTGTAATTGATCAACTGATGGATCAATTCTAAGCTTGGTGGTGGGGCGTTAACGCCTCGCAATTACGAGTGGCCAAGATTCCATTCCCACGAGTTCCACCGTTTCCCGGAAGGGCTTTTGGGCATAGCAAAGAGGCAAATAAAATAATACCCCCTTACAAAGTAAAAGGAAAAAAAGGAGGGAGGGGGCCACAAAATGCACAAGCACTGCACCGGAATATTTTCTAGATGCACGACCCCTCCACGATTCCAGGGAATTGGGCCAGGGCTGAAATTTCCCCTCGTACGACACGTGGGTACGGGCACCGGGCAGCGGGCAGCCCGGGCAGGGCGGGCAGCGGGCAGCACCCCCTCTCCCATTTGAAGGGCCAAAGAGAAAGACGAGGAAGAAGAAGCTGTGTGCGCTGTGAGAGCTATCCCTCTCCTCGGCTATGGTGGCTTGTCTTTCTCTCCCTTGTTTGTGAGCTCTCCCCCGTCGCTTCCTCTGTTTTGTTGCGAGCGCCGCGACGATCGATAGAGGATCCTCCGCAAATATCCCATTTGGGCTCTCGATCGATCCAATCCCCCCTCTTTTCCATGCAAGGAATGCGAAGCGGGAGTGTCTAGTTTCTTGGTAGATCGATCGCCGCCGCCACCGCCACCGCTGATTGCGTGGAATGCACGCCATCTGAGAGAATCGAAGCTGCAAGAGGAGCCAAGAGGAGGAGAAGGAGCTTGGAGAGGAGGAAATTCTTTCGCTCACAAGGTATGGATCGGTTGATTAGCTCCAAAGATCGAGCATCGGGAGCTCCGGCTCGTCGATTTGTTTGGTTGATAAGAAAGAATATATGAGGATCCATTGGCCTGATCCTTTGTGTGGTTTTTTTGGTTGTTTTTGTTCTTGGGCAGTGATTCGAGGAGGAGACGATGAGCTGCAATGGATGCCGAGTTCTTCGCAAAGGATGTAGCGATAGCTGCATTCTCCGGCCTTGCTTGCAGTGGATCGAAGGCCCCGAGGCGCAAGGCCACGCTACTGTCTTCGTCGCGAAGTTTTTCGGCCGCGCGGGTCTCATGAACTTCATTAGCGCTGTTCCAGAGAATCAAAGGCCAGGTAAGCTTGGCCGCCACCATGGTTTCCAGTTTCTAGCTTTGAATCACCGTTCTCCTTGGGTCCTTGGTTTCTAGCTCTCTTTGGTTTCTAGCCTTGGTCGTAGTTTCTAGCTTGAATCACAGCTGCTTGGTTTCTAGCTCTGATCTTCTCCTTGGTTTCTAGCTTTCTCATCTCGTGTTCTTCTTTCGTGCAGCTCTTTTCCAGTCTTTGCTGTACGAGGCTTGCGGAAGAACCGTGAATCCGGTGTTTGGAGCGGTGGGATTGCTCTGGTCTGGAAGCTGGCACGTTTGTCAAGCGGCGGTGGAGACGGTCCTCAAAGGTGGGTCTCTCCAGGCCCTCAAGCAGCCGGGATCAAGCTCCATGAGCGGCGCCGCCACCACCGCCGCCGCCGCTAACGCTGGTGCCACCACCCTCTTCCACCGCCACCACCACCACCAAACTCCAGGAACCCGGTCGCCAACCTCGGTCCTGGTAGACGCTATGGAATCACACAAGCCACTCCAGCAGCCAGGAACTGGAAGATACGTGGAGAGATCGCAGAGACCACTGGAAGTTGGCATCGATCATCGCGAGCAGCAAAGTGGAGTGAAGCGGGAGTTTGAGATCGTGGCTCCAGTCCCTCGCAGGATCCGTCCGAGGCAGCAGCAGCTACAGGAGGATCGTCATCCAGGTTTGAGCGTTGATGATCACCAGGTCTTGGACCTGGATCTCACACTGGGCTCTACTCCAAAGCATCAACACGAGGAAGAGCAGCGAGCTCTGGCGATGGTGGAGACCAAGAGGGTGCACAGTCCCTGCCAGTCGATCACGTCCGAGGGATCCGTCACCAGCGTCGACACCGCCGACCTCAAGATCTCTCTCAGGCACGAGCGAGCGGCGCCGGCGAGATCATTGTCAACTTAGATGCGATGCGAGATCTTTCATCCATCATCGTCTAACTTCTCTCCTGCCAGCCTCTCACGCTCGAGCGAGCTACTATCGATCGGAGTTCCCAGAGTTTGGAGTTTGTTCCACGAAAGTTGGAAGAACGTCACGGCATTACTAATCTTTGCGAGGTTTTCTATACTCTCTCTCTCTCTCTCTCTCTCTCTCTCTCTCAAATTTTCAAGGAATAAAAGAGTACATCTCTTGAGTGGAGATTTCGATAGCTCTATCTTTGTGAACTTAAAGATTGAAACATTGAGAGCTAGAATTTTTTTTCTCTTTCTTTTGCCAGGATCTTATCTTCTCGCGCTAGTCACCGTCGCACTGCTGTGTCTTATCCCTTTGGAAACCTAGCGATAGTTGGACGGATTTCTTCGCCTTTTCTACTTTTTTTTTTTTTTTTTTCTTTTGTTTTGGCTCCATTTGAGCTATGGATGAGAACAGCGCAGCTCAAGTTGCAATGTTCCTGTCACGTTTAACAAGACATCTTCCCGTACGATCTGGAAAGAAAAGAAGTGACAAACAACTTTTAATGGCAGATCTTGGAGCGAGTTCTCTCTTGCAGTATCGCCAGGTGCCACAACAGCACTGGATCATCGATCTGGAGTTCCTCCAGCTTCCAGATCGCGTCCTCGATCACGAAATCAAGATCCGCAGATTTGAGAGCGTATTCTCTCTTTCAGCTTCACCAGCGTTTCCCGCGCGCCGCAGCAGTGGATCATCCCGCTCACTCGCCACGCGATCTGGAGCGCCTCCAGCTTCCGGACCGCGTCCTCGACCTCAAAATCGCACGGCAGATCCACCTCGTCAATGAGTACGGCCTCGCATTTCTCTTGAGCTCCTACGTACGGTAAAATCCATAAGATCACGCCCAAACCGTGTTCTTGGAGCTCCTTACCTCTGATTTAGCGGCTCCATTTTTCATGAGCAATCCAAAGTAGGCCACGATTGCCTCGTTCACCTGGAAAGTTATGAATTTCCATCTAAGAACAAGGCTTAGATTTGATAGAAACACAATACCTCTTGCTGGAGAGCACTCTCAACCAGGCAAAGAAGTGTTGCTGGCCCCGTATCACGCTGTTTTTCATAGATTTCCTTGGAGATTAGCTTCCCATACTCAAGAACATTGGCCTGGAAACTAGAAAACCAAGAAAACTTTGTCAACTTTGCGACAACCTTTGGAGTATACTTACGTGTAGTAGACCTTGAAGGAATAGCTAAAAATCAAGGTGAGGATTGCGAGGCCAAGCTTAATCCTGGATCGCCCAAATGCTTGCCAGAAACCAACCTAGTAAGTTAGTTTTTTTTATCATTGTTTTGCTCAAAAGAATTTGGGCAATCTTTGCTTACACCCGCAGCTGCAGCAGAGATTGCGAGCTGAAACCACTCGGATTTTCCCAGGCGAGGCGTAGTTTTCTCAGGCTGGAAAAGGGAAATTTGTCAATGCAAATGATTATAAAACTTGAAATGATTTCTCGTGATTTTTACCATAACTATTTCCAAGTCGGCTATTGGGATTTCTCTAAACTGTCTAATATAAATCCCGTACTTGTACTCCTGCTGTTTCAATCTAAAATATTGAAATATTACAATACTGAGAAAAATTGAAATTAAAAAGTTCTATACCTGTATAAAACCACGACCTGGCTAAATGTTAGTTCTTGTAGCTGTACTCGCTGGAACAAATTCCCTATCCTGTGGGTAAGATCCATGATCAGCTTAAAACAAAAAGAACTAATATACCCACTTAATATCCTCGACGTGGATTCTCTGTACGGTGCGTATTCTGTCATTTCCTTCTTCAATGTCCGCTGGCCCCGATTCCATTGGCGAGCTTTTGCTTCGTTTTGATTTCCAACTGATTTAAGTTTAATGATAAGGTTAAAATGTAGAAAAATCTTACACAGTTCTCCAAAAGCTCCACCATAACACCTTAAGCTTGGGCATAAAGTAGAATCCTTTCCTCGTGTCGATCCCAACACCCCGGTGGTAGACCGAAAACTGCGATATTATTAGCATGGATTAAATGGTGGTTAATAGTGACAAAACTTACTAAGTTCTCAAACAAGTTGCTTCCTCCAGGAGCATTTTGTAGCAGCTGGTTGTCTAGCTATGATAGTATGATAGAAGTCATTGATCAAGCTAGATAGTGTACAAACCCACAGCACTGACCTTGGATTTTTTGTAGCCGATTTTAAGCTGGAGGAGGTACTTGCTGTGCTTGGCTTCTTTCCACTCCACCTCAGTTACCTGCTGGAAATTACATTTCTCCAAAACCTGTGCATGAGAATCGAAAAAAAAAAAAAAAACCATTGGTTTGGTCGTCAAAAGCACGATATTTCTTTTGGTTTGTGTATCGATTTTACGCTGTGGAAGCTCCCGAGGAACTTCTTCTCTAAATCCCTCGCGCCAGGCTCCGAATCCTTGAGCTTGTTGGTTGCGTCCGTGGGATGGAAGTGTGTCTTGTGAAGTTCGTATCAATAACTCAGACCCTTGTAAACCAATTCCTGATTATAGATCTGGCAAGCTCACCACTAGATCCTTCAAAGCTTCTTCAGTCATCTTCGTGATCTCGACTTTCATCAGGGAGCACAGATCTTTGAAATCCTGCGCCTCTTCGACTCGATCTGTTTGTGGAGATCATGTCACACAAAACTATAATTACAAATGGATTGATACCAGCAAGCTTTTGCTCCAAGGTGGTGGTGTCGATCATAATCGCGGGTCCTCGCCGGACTCGCACCAATCTGGAAGACATTATAAGATAGTATTCGAGATTTCGAGAGAAAACACAATGTAGCAAAACTTGTACCATCCAGTACAAAGAATCGCAGCTTTTGCTATCTACAAGCAAAAATTTCAGTAGATTCCCTCAGAGCTTACGTTTTGCTGAGAATATTCCAGTGCTTTATAATTAAGCAAAGATTCGAATCGATTCTCGTTAGAAACTTGGTTTTTTGTACGGATGTCTACGTCCATTTGAGACCAGCACGGCCCAAGTTACAACGAAGAAAGCGAGTTCTCTCTTGCAAAATCGCCAGCTCTCCTGCGCGCTGCTCCGATCATCCCGTTCGCGCGCAGATCCTCCAGCGTCCGGATCGCGTCCACCTCGCTAATGAGTACGGCCTTCCACTGTCTCTTTTGCTCCTACGTACGGTAAATCCAAAGATCACACGTGTTCTTGGAACTCCTTACCTCGGGTTTAGAGGCTACATTTGCTTGAGCAATCCAATCAATCGCATAATTTCCTCAGTCCTGACAAGGCTCCACTGCCTGGAGAACCCTTTCGTGATATTCCGTGTGCGGCACATTGAAGGGATTCCCAGATCTACCTTTCTTTTCCATTTGCCAACCTCGCTCTTGTTGCTGCTCTCCCTTTTCTTGCGCTTGCAGCTGCCTTGCTGAATTCTGCTAGGCCGCTCTTGCCTTCGCGTTCTTGCCCCTCCCTTTGCTGCGCGTTTTAGACCTAGCATTGGCCTGGAAACTAGGAAACCAACAACAAGTATGCTTGCATGTAGTAAACCTTGAAGCCATAGCTAAGAAACACTGCAAAGAATTGAGAGGCCAGGCTTGACACTGGACCGACCAAATGCTTCTTAGCTAGAGACAAATACTAGAAGTTTTATTCTTTGTTGCTTCAAAATAAATTTGGGCAGTCGTTGCTTAGGCCCATTTGCGCACTCTCCATTGAGAGCTCCAATTCGAACAGATGCCATTTGCAAACTTGGAACACACTCTGCGGGTGAGAGAAGAGATATGGAGATCGGAGCACTGAAGCCGGCCTCTCTCCCGTGATCCTGCCTCTGGCCGATGGTTGGCCCACCAAACCAGGTCATGGTCAGCTGGCCGGTATTAGAAAATTCACAAATAAACTATACACAATGATTTTATTAATAATTATATAGTTAATTAATGTAGTTTTAATGTTAACTATAAATGATTAGCAAGGGTAAATTTAGTGTTAAAAATTGATGCCATACTAATCATTATGCTCTATAATGTTTAATTTGCATTTGTTCTTCTTTTCCCACTGAATAACAAAAGAAAAACTCTTGGTGAGATTTTATTTTTTTCACAACAAGGAAGCATGTTACCTATTCCCAATTGAAGCAATTATCTCAAGCAATGCCACATCAATGCCTTCTTCCCTCGAAAGATGCAATCCAACAAAAAAAGAAATAATCAAACTATGCTTACTCTTTCTTGGAGTGGATGGGATAGATGCTGTCTGGATTTAGGGACTTCCAACACTGCCACTGGCAATATTGGGATCTCCTCCTCCTCTGCTGACCTATGGCAAGACATAGCTTCCCACCCCTTCCTCTTCATTCAATTCGGGGCACTAGGACATGGCTACTTGCTGATTACCCAGATAAGCACTAGGGTTTGCCGGTGTGCCCGTCACCAAGGCCTGCCACTGCGTGGATTGTTTCACTTTCTCGCCACTGCTGGGATATGACACATACAGATTGCTGCCACAACATGATTGAGCTTGATTGCAGCTGGGAGGCTGCTGCTGCTGCTGAGTCACCATAACTTCTTTCTTCCTCTCGCATCTCTTCTCGCATAAAAAGCACCACTTCAAATGAAATCGATCAATTGCAATGCCAAGGGCAAAACTATCCAAGTTTGTCAATCTCTCCTCCTTTGGGTCAAATCTCTAACAAAATTTCCTCTTTGCAGGAGAGGAAAGAAGCGTTGCAACAGAGACTAGGTGAATCGCTGTGTTGGGACTTGAGCATTATGTTTGGGAAGTGGCTGTTTGATCCGGCTGAGCTAGAGAACCCTTTCATCCACATCAGGCAAGGTGAAAAGGATTTCATACACATGCATAAATTAGAGCTGCTGGATAGAGATATCCTGAATTAAGCAGCTGATTAACACAAAGTTAATCACAGCTGCCCTACAGGCTAGTTAACATGTTATATGTGACATGTGCACAACATCACCCCAAATAGTTCGGTTCGCCACTTATTCACTAAGTTAAGATGTGGTTAAAGAAATAATCCTTTTGACAGTTACCCCATCGGATGGCTACCATTGGCTGGATCCGGTGGCCCAGAAAGTTCAGCAACTCAAACGTTATGTTTAACTAATTACACTATATTTTGTAGAAAAAATTATATTTATAAATACATATATTATATATGTAATTATTCTATAATATTTCTTAATCTAGCAGCTGTGATTTTATGCTCTTAAACTTTCTCTAATTTGACTATAATAAAGCTTTAAGTTTTTAGGATCAAAGAACTTT